CGCCCCCGGGACCTCCACCACCTTGTTCCCCCCCAGCCACGACTCTGCACCTGCTGCTCCACACACGTGTCCCATGGGACACACAGCCCACTCGGACCAGAGCGGGGGCAGCGCAGGGGAAAGGGCAGCGTTGCCACCCACCCTGTCCTGCCTCACCCCAGAGCGGCACCAGTCCCTGACTGGCATGGAAGGACTGGACACTCCCTGCTGCAGGGCACGATGCAAGCGAGTTCTCCCTGGCTGCCCACTGCAGCCTGCCCTGGGCGTGGGGCTCTCCTCACACCACAGGCTCCCGCCCTGGAACTCTGTTCTAACCAGCCCCATAGACGCCTCGGTGCTCCCCCTGCCCAGGTCAGGCCTCTGCTGGGTTCTGAAGCTCTTGGGATGATTCCATCTCAGGCTGGGTCCAGAAGGGACAGAGTTGGGACTGACACCCCAAGGCCTGCTGGAGGTCTCTGCATTCTGGAAAATCTCACTTCTTCCAGGCACCACACCACCAGCTGGAAGACAAAGAGCTCCATGCTGTGCTGCACAGTGCATGGCCTGTGTGGTGAACGGCTGGAAGCAGCACATCAGACACACCAGCTCAGAAAAGATAAAGTCTGGAAGGGGCAAGTCTGAAGGCAATGTTCTAACCCGCTCCTCATTCAGGAAATTCACTGGGAAAAGCATCCCAAATAACTCTCTAAACTCCCAATGAATCAGAGCAAAGCTGATCTCCCCCTGCAGCAGGAAATCCCCATCAACTACCTGCTCCTCTCCTGCCACACTGCGGCTTTTCTCAGTCTGTCCTGCTCCTCAGCCCAGCGGACAGCAGGATCAGTTCAGCAACACGGGAAACATCCCCAAACCCCACTCGGTATGGCCATGCCACCCCACAAGGCTGCACCTTCACTTGTGCCATCCCGGCCAGTCCCCTCTGCTTACAAGACCTTCAGCAGACAGGAGAGCACACGGGCTTTGCCCTCACATCCTTCTCTAAAACTCAGCAATCAGCTCAAATCTTTGGGGAGGGGAGAGGGAGGTCAAAGTGTTTGTAGAAATGGAGCCTGGCCACAAACAGCTTCTCAGCCATGTCACAGCTGAGAGTCTGAGTGCTCTCCCCACACCCTGGGCAGAAGCTGCCCAGGAAGGACAGTGACCCTGGCACAGCTCACTGGACAGTGCTGTGCAGACACCAGGGACCAGCAGGCACCTCTTACTCAGGTGAGCCACGAGAGCAACACAAGTTCTGACCACACGATCTAATTCCAGAGATAAATCTCATTAGTCTCCTCCTAAACCTGGACAAACCTGCCTTGTGTTACTTTTCTGCCAGCTTTGGTGCACGAAGCAGAGTGCAGCGTTTTCCCTCTCCAGGTAACCAAGTTACCTGGCGTTGGCTGCTCAGCAGGAGCTGCCCATGCTCCCTCTGGGCAGGCATCGCTGCTGCACTAGTCATTCCTGCCTTCAACACCAGCAGCACCTTTGCCTGTGCACCAGGGTCCTTCTGGGGAATTCAGAGAGATTCCAACTCAGTCTCTCAGTGGAGCTTAGGGAGAACAAGGTCAGTGTGAAGGGACAGCACACGGCAAAGGCAGCGGCACACGCGGGAGCAGAGCGCCCGGCGCCGGGGACACGACAGAAGCCAGCAAGGTCAAGAATAAGTCACTTTTGGTACAATTGCAAAAAGATATCAAACAGGACTTGCCTCTTTTTTTGTTCTTTTTTCTAAGTTTTATAAATAAAGTCTGATAACTCTTTATAAAAACTAACCTCAGAGCCACAAACAGTTTGCGGGAGGTTCATGAGAAACTTTAAAATTATTTCTTTATTAACTTTTAACTAGCAAAGTCTCCGAGAATATTTCCCCATTTCTATGGTCAAATATTCTCACCCTCTCAGGTAAAAAAGCTGACTATAAATACGCTCTCTCTTCTGTCCGATTTTAAACTTAGATAATTTAATAACTCTTAAAAGGATGTTTCTCTCTTTAAATAAAGGGCTATTTAACCACATAAACTGGTTGTGTAAACCATCACACTAGAGACACTTGATACCCTCAAAACACGGGAACGACTAGTGATTTTGGTCTTGTTCAGTGCAACACATTAGGCACAAAACCGGCCTGCAGTCAACACGTACCGTCCCTCCCTCCCTCCCTGGGGAGCTGGGCCCCGCAGGGCCCTGCGCCGGGGCCGCGGGGGCGGCAGGGCACGGTCCTCCCCACCACTGCCATCTACACAGCTAACGCCACGGACGTCTGAGGGAAACCCACGGTTAGGGCACAGAGGCACACCTAGAAAGGAATAAAAACCTATGACACAACACCCCAACTGCAACTACAGGTACCAAAGGAGACAAAAGCAGCAGGTTCAGGCGCCGAGATGCACCACCTGGAAGAGTCATGAAATAAAGCCTTTGGAAGTGACCAAAAATTAGGGTTCCTGGCCCCCAGGAAGGAATCCTCCCCCCGGGCTGCCCCCCGCCCTTCCAGCAGCCATGCTGCACAGACTTTCTTTGGGCAGAAACCAAAATGTCGCAGTCTGTCCCCAGGGCGCGCGAGGGCTACAGACGCTGGGTGGGAGGCTCTGTCTGCACAGCACGAGGGACGCGTCACCACTGCTCATACCAATCTGGACACAACAAAATAAACTGGAGCGATCAGCGGGCCAGTCCTGGGCCAAGTCGAAGGAACCCGGACCCGTGTGGGGAGGGTTTGTGCTTTGGGGATTCCAGGCTGGTTTTGTGCCTAATTGCCCTGCACAGACAAGCTCAGGCAACACTCGCTTCACTAAGACCGGGCGTCCGTTTTGGATTTCACTATTGTGATGACACTAGTAGTAGCGACCTTGCCGGGGACGAGGGGCCCCATGCTGGAGGTGAGTGGACCCCGCGCGGGGGTCACGGGGCTCCGGGCCACGGTTCTGGCGAAGTTCTGGAGAGCCTCGTATTTGGAGCGCAGAGCATCGAGTTCCATTTTCATGCTGGCGTTCTCGGAGGCCAGTTTCTCCACTTCTTGCTGCAGCTCTGCCTTCTGCTTCTCCAGTTCCTCCTTCTGGGTGACGCGCTTGACTCTGCAGCTGGCCGCGTAGCCTCGGTTCTTCAGCGTGCGCCGACGCTGCTTCAGCTGGATGATCTCCTCCTTCGACAGGCCCCGTAGATGCTGGTTCAGCTCCCGCACAGACATGGTCACCAGCTCCTCATCTGTCAAGCTGGTCCCATTCTCACCTGGCTCCCGCTTCACCTGGGACAGAAGGCAGCACACACTGATGAAACCTGGGCTGGGCACCTGCTCACCCCCACGCCCTCTCCTCCACCCATGCATTACCTTCAAGGCCTTGTTTCCTTTGTTGGGGGTCGTCATAACACGACAGCCTTGTCAGTCGGGTTCTGGAAGGGAAGGAAGGTCAGGTTAGCCCGGGATGCAGCCGAGCCCGCG